TAGGTGTTGTCCAAAAATTCCTTGCAGTTATGGAAATAAACCTGCAAAAAGAGAATGCGATATAGAAGCTGTGTAGGGAGAGTGAACTTATGGGCATGCCTTTGGGTACATTTAATCAGGACATTTTTGCTTTTGTTTTTAACTTTTCATATCCAAAATCTGTGATGAAGTGAAAGAATTTAAGAGATGAAAATCTGTTTTTAGGTTCGCTAAAGAAAAGAGGACATGTATGAGCTGCTGGACCAAGAGCATTACAGAAGTTTTACTTTAAAGGCCAAAGATGGTTACAATTATTCTTTCCGTTTGTGGTTGTATTGACTTCAAAAATTGCAGCCCATGGTATTAGGTTGGCGGCTTCTTTAAAGAACACGTCACAAAAATTCCAACCTAAACTTGATGGTGACACACCCTCATTACAGGCCAAATCTATTACCCTGGCATGGCTTTATATCTACTTTGTCAAACATGCTATTTGCCCTGTGTTGATGTAAATACATAGCCGATGCTGTTCATGCATTCATTTGCATTCATAAACTGATGCATCTGGACAATGACTTCACAGGTCCCACTGTCAAGGCTGTTCTTACCATTCTGGCAGGGAGCCAGGCGAAGCTGCCGGCCCAGGCCCCTTTTCCCAAGTTCCACCCAGACGCTGCGTGCGCCGTCATCCTGCTGAAATGTAAACCCCAGATTCAGCTGTGTTTGTTATGGTTGCGCCGGCCCTCAGTGAACACATAACGCTGTCACAACGTAGCTATAACAGCGGGGCAATATTTCAACAACAATCTATTTGGTCAGCTGCAATTACATCACTAGGTGGTCAAACACATTAGTTTGCTGGAATGATAATTAGGATTATTTCACGGGCAGTCTTAGCATGGGTCCTAGGGGCTGTTCTTATTCTTAACACACCTCGACATTTAATACAGAAGTTTAAGTGCTTTTAAGTATGTTTTCACAGTGTCTAAACTTGACCCCACTGGACTGTGATCACAGGAGCACCCTCATTACTGTTTTTGCTGGGGATTCTCTATTTAATAGCAGGGCTTGCTATACCCTGTTGTCTCTTTTAATCAACCCGGCTACAGTATAAACAATAGTTTAAACTGAACACTTGTGTTGCCCTTGAGATCACTGGCCTGCTGCTCTAATGGCTATTTACTTTCCAGGGAAAATAAGTAACCAAGAAAGTCTATTTTTATCCTGAAATAACCCCAGTGTCAACCCCACCGAGTTTGGGGGGCAGGGTGGGGGGGGCACATCCTTAACTTTAATCAAACCGCAGGCGCTGCAGGCTGTACACTAGTGCAACAACCTTCGCGTGATACATTTTTTTCCTGTCCTCTTGTCAGCTCATGTGACCCAAAGTCACTATAACTTGGCATTCTAAGAGGATTTAATGTTAAAATATAAATCCATATTCTGTCTGCAACTAGCTTGGGGTCTACGCAGTGTGGCATCAGTCGGGTGGGTAATTTATTGTGGGAGCTAAGTGTTTCCATTTGCAGTAAGAGCCACTAAAAACAGACTCGCTGAAGGTTTCTGGGGGGCCCGCTTGTAAAAGTACTGATGCAGTGTGAGCTGGCTCATGGCCTGACAACCTGTTTGGGGAGCGGTATAGATGGGGTTTTAATGAATACATAATCCAGCCATCACTAAAAGGACTCTTCACACTTGCCAAAGTTTCAGCTCTGGACTGTTGTGGTCTTATTCACCTTATGCAGAGGAGTGGGATGCATTTTCAAAAGAGGTTTCCCAAAGAAAACACCTGCAAAGAAATGTCTGTTTTTGGTTACTGTTACTGTGATTATGCATACGCAAAGATTAATGCAGAGATTAATTTTAGCTACTAAGATGAAATATTTGACTCTGAATCCAATGAAATGGAGGAAATAAAGAAAAAAAGATTTATTTCATGTTTTGGAACTACAGTAACACTGTCCTCACACAATGTGTAAATTGAAATTTTTTGTGGTTAATTGAAACTCACCATTAGCAACTCACTGCTGCCCTCTACTGAATACAAAGCGTGCACATTAACAATAATTTTGTTAAAATATTTTTCAGGGAATATTTAATCACCTTATCGCCAGAAGAATAATTAAGTTAAATATGTTAACCCTGTGTTTTGGTGTTTCAGGTGAAGGGATATCATTACAGGACAAGATCTCTGACTAAGCTGATACAAACACCTTAAACAGTGGGCTAGTATGTTGTTAACATGATTAGAATAGGTTTTTCTGCTCAACTGTTCCTGACAGTTGCACATATCACTTAAAGTAATAATACTAAGTAGCAAGTAATACAGTGCATATGGAAAGGATAGCACTTCAGCAGGGTTCAGGTAGGTTGTAATGTGGGATTTCACCTGGAGTTGATTTGAGACTGATACTACTGTATAAAACCGCAGCCAAGTTTGGTTTGGCTGCCTAGCTGTTAACTCTGTCGCACAGAAATGAAAAAAAGTTTGTGAAACAAAAGCCAGAAAACCAAAGTGCGCCTCAAAGACCAAGGAAAACATAACAATAACTGCAAGAGCACATGATATCATCATGCAGCTCAGCATCTGGGAAAGTACCATATTAACAGCAGAGCACATTTATCTTTTGACTAAACTGAAAAAAGATTTAAATCCAAACAATGTATGTGCAAAGAATTCATATTCACAAAATATAAAGCCAAGTGCAAATCCACAGGTTAACATATGCCTGTTGAGTAATGTTCAACTTTGACTGAAATAAAAAAATGTTACCACAACGATGGATACATGGGAGATGATGTCAATGTTCAGTGTCATATCACTTTCTCTTGTAGACTACATATTCACCCCCTGGTTGGACTCAAGTACCTTCCTTCCAGGAACGTTTTCTCCCAGTTCTAACATTAACCAACAGGCCTTATTTCCTGAAACCAGAAACTCCCTCAGCAAAAGGAAACCCAGCAGCACCTGCACTAGGAAGAGGCCGGCCAGGATGCGAGTCCAAAATCAGGCCATTAGACTAAGACATAATCTAATGTCTGGAAGTTAAATTTCTCATTTTCTCGTTTTGTTAATATATTCAGGTCTGCTCAACATCAGCTCATACATTTATGAGTGTAATTGATGACAGATACTGTGCTTTGCTAATATACATTATCTAAATAAAAGCATGTGACCCAAAAAGATAATTGCTGCATTGTTTAAACATTGCCAAATCCAACAAAAAATAGGAGTTAAGTGCTTTAATTTTATAAATATGCAACAAATGTACATTGAAAAACATATTCCTGTGGATGATGACTCCAGTCTATTTGTACTGCAGTCACATAACTCCATATTTTGGAGCGCAGCGCAACCCACATGCGCCCTCGTAGCCCACAAACTTGGGCTGCTTTTTCCCAGCTAGAGTTGATTGATTGGCCATCAATGGAGACACGCTCCTCGAATGAGAGCGCTCGCCACAGAACTATCATGTAAACAGACTTGGAAGTCAAGGCCAGCAAAATCCCTTGTGTCTCCATACCATCCGTTAGGAAGGCAAAGCCTGGTCTCATGTATCTGTGGTCAGACGAGACCGCCACCACTTCCTCATATTGCAAGGCTGCTTCAAAACCACGCCAGTGTGTTCTCTATTTCCCTAACCTTTTTTAAGGGTTGGAATTCACATAACCATGTGGTGTGCTTCTGGAGTTTGGTACTTCCATAATCTCGCTGTTTATCACTCAAATCAACAAAAATAAACAGTCCACAGTGAAAACATTTTCAACCGGGCTGGAAGAACTTTTCATAATGTCATAACTAAGCATCCCTTTGGTGGTATCATGTGCATGTGCTTTCAGTCTCACATCTTTCATGGTGGCCATTGTTTAATAGAAGTGATAAGTTCATGCTAACTGGGACCATACTGTTGAGTGAGGCTGTTGGTCTTCTTTCAAACCCCTTTGTGTAAGGCGTCTTCCTGATTCATAATTGAGTGCTCAACCACTTGCCAAATCAAATGTGGTCTACTGTTGACATGAAGTAGTCCCCCCTTTTGGTGAAAGCAGTCCAACAGAGGTGGTCAGCTGATGCCAACAGTCTTGGCGCCAACAGGATGTTATAATAGTAGAGCGTATAAAGCGAGCCACTTCCACACAACAGCATGCACAGCGGCTGAAACTGTAATTAACATCCGTTTCTAGTTTGCACGTGTTTTGATATTCTCTGTTGCAATTTGTCACATGGGAGCATTGTATGAGGGGAGTTGCCTGTTGACTTTTTGTTAAGGAATAAAGCCTGCTTAGAATTCACAAGGCTCATTTCACTGGCTCAAATTTCTTCCAAACAACTAAACCTAATTTGCTTTCCAGTCAGTATATTATGTTTTTTGTTTGGCTTTAATGACCATTCTATGCCAGGATACTATACTCAAGTGCTCAAGTGTTCTGCTGATTTCAGTCAATTGGTTGTTCAAAACCTTCAGCTTGCCTTTAAAAATATTTCCAAGGCACTCATCTCAAACTGGTGTTAAAAGGTGATAAAATCTATATTACACTAGGTAGATTTACCACTTGGCCTTTAGGTTCAGGGGACAAATATACTCTTTAAAATACAGTTGATGTGCACTATAGACAAAAACAATTATAAACTGTAATTTTATGAGAAATGCTGTTCCAAATCTGTCATTCTGGAGCATTGATTTTGAGCCACATTCATTTGGAGTTCAAAATTCACTCACTGATTGCCTCTCCCCCACCTCCTGAGGGAAGTATATGGCTTTTCAGCTGCTAAATGCTATGCTCACCTTTTGGTGCTGGGCCGATAGCATACTGTGGATTCATCAGAGCTTTTTTCATTAAAATAGCTACAGCTAAAAACTGATTAGCGTGCAGGTAGACTTGGATCACACTGTGGGTTCACTAAGACTGACATACTTCCACATACATATTGATAATTTGATCTGTTGCTAATATAAAAACTTGATTATAGCAGCTTTTAACCAACAAAAGTATCCAAATCAAACCATTTATCTTACCTAGGATAATTTGATATTTTTTATTTGAGACATTTTTTGCAAATGATTTGCTATTACAGACGTAATTTATTCATATGTATGCTATAAGGAAGATGCAGGTGTACTCTTCCCTTTATATTTAGAGCTAATTGTTAAGTTAAGTATGTAGTTATAAGATAAATTTGATATCCTGAGCAAAAAGGAGCCTCTATACAGCAGTGAAATCATTATTTAAAAAACATGGCAGAGATGTTTCAGGTTAAACTGAAAGCTAATTGCAAGAGTACAGCGATGACAGACCACACTAAAATCAAAGAATTACAATACATGTGTCAGAATTATATCAATATTTAGCAAGACATATACAGTAGATGTGGACCTTAACATGGACTATTTAATCTATAATATTTAAAGCAAACACATGGAGTGTTTTCTGATCTGTTTTCAAGAGTCCCAGAACTTAGCTGCACATTTACAGTCTTCTGCTATATATTGACATTGATGGGACTTACAAAGCAATACAAAGCAGTAATACTGAGACATGCAACATTAAGCCACAGGGAAACCGTGTCCAGAAAGGATAAGTAACAGGACCTGAGAAAGACTAGTCATCAGGACAGAAATGGTTATAAAGAAAGAACATCATCAGAAACACTGTCATATTAATTAACTTTATCTGCTGTCAGTCTATTACTTGCAAATAATTTTAATTGAAAACCTGTTCACCCAACCTACATCAACAAGATCAAATTCTGTTATTTCACTACTGCCTTGCAAATGAAACCTATGGGAAACACCATGCAGTTTATTTTAAATTAGCTTGTGCACAGAGAATAAATAGATGCTCATTTTCCCCTTCAATTTAATTGTTGTCATTGCTGTCTCCCGGGGGAAGGTATAAAGTCTGCTCTGTCACACATGGAGTCATCAGGTAATTTTTTCACATGACACCTTCACTGGGAGGGTGTGACATGCAATGAGGAATCATGCTATTTCCCCAAATCTAGCTGAGGTGCCAGGACCAATCAATAGGAGTCAGCAGTGCACCAATAAGGATGTTATCGCTCACTGGCTTCCCACTTCAATAGGCTGAGCCAAGTCATAAGCATCACTACCAGGCACTGAACCTAGTGCCGGGTGAGTTACATTTTTAGAGCACACTTTTCTTTCCGCAGAATCTGCCACAAGTAGTGATCAAGTATATAGATTCAATATGGCAACTCCTAAAAGCAAAGAAAATTGAAAAAAATGTCTTCTAAATCACACAGCCAATAGCATCCAAGCCAAATGTAATATGTAATAAAACTAACAACAAACGAGACACATACAAGACACTTTATGTCTCTAACAAAAATGTGTTCTTATTTAAAGTCATAATCACTGATGTGCAAATTTCAGGAATTTTGGTGAACATTGCTACACTTCCTAGAAATCACTGACACATGGATCCACGTGATTATTCCACCAAATGGACACACACATATCTTATGAACTGTTTAGAGTACATGCAAGTCCCTATGTCTGTATTCCATTGTTCTCACACTGTACCAATCCCGTGGGGAAAAAGAGGAAGCTTAAAGTGCATTTCTCAGGACGGACACAGTGACCGCATGTGTCTACTGGACTGTTCGGCGCTACAGCAGTCTTTTCATGCGGCAGGTGTGTTTCTCTATGTGCATGGTGGCTTGGTCAGTGGAGCTGGTCAGGACGTCCAGAACTTCATCCTGCCGTTCCAACTCTGTCTCTGCCTCCAGGGCAAGGTTCTTCAGCTGCATCAGCATCTGCAAACACACACAAACAAATGAGCGTGTGTACGCATTGGACACCAGCCCCCCAGTGAACACGGACAACTAAGGAGCAAGACACAAATAAAGAAGATTAAATAATTAAAAAAAAAACTACAGAATATTAGTGAACAGTTGCAGGGTGGAGCATGTGGACCATATATGGAGGTGTAAATACGGGGTCATTGAGTTAGAAACCGAGTGAAACAGAGAAAGAAGAGAGATGAGAGTGAAATTTTCATATGATTCAAAGTTTTTTCTTATTTTGGCTACAAAGATAATAGCAGCTGCATAATGTCTGCATATAAGAAAGGAACTTCACAATTCAACAACCCACCATTATCCAAAAACAGCTACTCATATATTACTTACTTATTATAAATAATATTATATACTATAAATACTATTATAAATAATATTATAAATACTATTTCATATTATGCAGTATATGAAAGACAAGTCTTGGCTTATCTCCTGGTATCACTGATATCATACAATACTGTTTTCTGCTCTCAGTGGGTTTACTGGGTATACTACGACTGTATCTCCATGGTCCAACAACTGTGCATGTTATAGTTGATAGAACAACTTTAACATGCGATGATGTGCCAAGCAAAACCTAATAAAAACTCCTTCAAATCCCAGAACCATCGTTTCTAAACTAATATTATGCTACGCTACACATGCTCTCTCTCACACACACATGCAGACATTGCAACTAAGCACAGAAACTGTTCCAGAGAGAAGTTTGAAAAACAGATAGTACTGTGGAAAAACTGTATTCACTCAGGTCTGTGACTTTACTATTTCAAATGGGAGAACATGACTGAATCCCACCTTGCAGTTAACATTCACATGCGTTTTGGTGTGTCATAGAAAAACACAAAAATGAATATTTTTAGCCGCTGCTTATATGATGGTTAGAGGGCGTTAAGTCATGTAGAAACCGCTAAAATTAAACATTTAGGCTAGAACTAATAGAAAAATACATGAGCTAAAATACTTAGTGTCATGTGCATGAGTGGTGGGATTTCAGGACTGTGAATTAATGTAAAGGTACAGTACATGAAATCTAAAAAAAATGCTTCATCATTCTTATGAGTGAGCCAGTTTGGACTGTTAACAAATAAAAACTTCCAAACTCAAACAATAACACTTTTATTAACAACATTTAAAAATGTTCGGACAAAGGGGAATATTTGCTAAAGTGCTTAGGGCAGCACATTAGTGACCCTCTGTACAAGTTGCCCCACTGTAGATTCTAATCTTGCCATGAATTATATTTAAGAGTAGGGTGTGTACAGAAGCATAGCATTAAGTCCAAATTGGCAGCCTTTGAAGTTTGAACCCTTATCAGCCGTAGACAATACGTCATTTATAAACACAATAGACAAGCCAACACAATAAAGACATGAGTAGACCTAATATACTGTATATGTTAATCTCATTCTTCCTTGTTAGTCTCAATTAATGACTGCTTTTCCTCTTTGTCAAGCAATTTGCAGTTTTTCTGTTTGGTGCCAAATATCTTTTATAGCTAACAAATAGCTTTAATCAAAGCCCCGGCAGATAAATTGGCTGGGTTTATCGCAGGTATATTGGTGTCTAAATGGCACTACAGAAACACCAAAGATAAGCTGTTTAGAAAATTTTAATATTTTGTCAACCAGAGACCACTGGCAAGTATATTTTTTAACTAAATTGTCCTGCTCTCTACCTATATTGGTCATAATTCTTTCAAAAACTAATTTGAAGGATCCTTTACAACGTTTGTTTATGTTATGCGTTTCTGTTAAAAAAAAGTATAAAGTAATATCTGCAAATATATGCTTTTTTTTTTTTTACTTTCAGCTATTTATCTGTATCGGCCTTAGAAACCCACTATCAGTCAGGCTACAGTTGTAATTTGCACCTTGATAACGTCCTACCTTTATAGCAGTGACTACAATGATGGTTTTGTTACTTCTGTGGTGGAGATGTTTCAATTATTCTGTCTGCCCCCTATGCCAAGTAAGATTTAATATAATTTTGGCCCCAAGTAGTAAAGCCTTAGTGCCATCTCATTCTTCATCAAGTCTACTTTCATACATCACTCTACATACTGTATGTGGTGTTAATCTAAGCATGACGCAACAAAAACAAAAGTAGGTTTACATTAGATATATTATTATAAGCTACCAGGAAGAATGTGTCAAACACAAAAAAATTGTATGAATCATAGGTTTGGATTTGCGTCACTGTGTAGGTCTTGCCACCACAGACCATGTCTGTAACATTTCTCAAAGTTGCAAGGTTCTGAATGGAAAGATGTTGTAAATCTGACCAGAAAACTAGTTTCTTTCCCTCTCGCAGAAGCAGGATGGACTTTGGTTTGTGGTCTCACAAAATAACATTTTAAACATACAGGATGAAAAATAAAAATGATTATGGTGAATGGTGGTTTGGAATGGGATTATCAAAATACATATCACCAAAACCATAAGGTTATTTACTATAATATATAAGGTCTCACCTGTTTGAGTTCCTGGGCCTCAGCCTGACTGACAGATGGCTGGAGGACATGCACCTGCAACTGGGACAGATCTCCTGCTGAGACCTCCAGCGGGAGCTCTGTCTCTTGGCACCTCTGCAGCAAACCTGACTCCATGGGTGGAGATGGTGAAAAAGTGCAGAGTGGATATGTTGTTTATGAGGAAAGCAGCCAGTAAACTCAAAGTACAGCAACTGAGGCAATCAGGGTGATGTGACTCATCAAAACACATTTCTGTCAAGGAGAGACACCAATAACCATGTCCAAAAGTCATGTGGATGAAATGTTTTTACATGTGGCTACACGCCTATAAATATACAAAGGTGGAAACACAGACCTTTACTGCCACTTAGTGGTTAACTGTATACTAGACATGGAAACAGTAAAATAATGGAGCCCTTAATTATATTATGTCTGCCTTACCTTCATTCCAGTTTGGCCCCTCCATGTCAGATGCCCCTCGTGGAGATGAAACTGGAGATGCCTTGAAAGCAGTGTATTCACTTGTGAACTCCACCTTCTTTTTGTACTGCATCTCTAACAATGACAGTGCCTCTGGCATCTTGGCAGACAGGACCCTGTAGCATATATCTGGCTTCCCAATAAACCGCTGTCTAACAGTGATCTCATAAGGACTGTGTACCCTGATTTCGTCGATTTCATTTCGCTCGAAGCGGTGAAGGAGTTGGCAGTTTGTATCTCGCACCTCCAGTGAGGACACCAGCACCAACAAACATCCAGGTTTTAAGTCTGAGTCCCTGCCTTTGGTCACTACAGCTGGGATGCTTGCAATCACCTTATTTCTACTGGAGCCTCTGCCAGCTGCAGAAGCAGCGGCAGCTCTTGCAGCATCCTCAGCTTTGGCTTCCTGCTGAGTCTTCCAGGGAAGTTTACCAAAAGGCCACCAGGAGGGAGACTCCAGCCCTGACAAAAGTCTGCAAGAGACAAGAAAAGGATAAGAAAGAATGCATGAGTTTATGACTTGTTTCTCTATTATATCAGGAAATATTTGACAATTACTTATCAGCCACGCCCAGATCGGACTCGATCTTCTCCAGTCCCTGCATCATATTGTCAAACTGCTCTCCTTGGTGGCTGAGGACTATGCCGGTGTCCTCCAGTCTTCTCTGGGCCCCTGCCACCAAGTTAATCAGCTCTCTGCCTTTAGAGGGTTGACATTCGGCCCCCCGGGCCTCTGAGCTGGGTGACAAAAGGCGTTCTCTCCAGAAATGCTCTAACACGTTATAAACCACCACCCGATTGGGCTTAAGGGAGCCAAACCAGTGTTTTACGTTGCCCTCTTCAAGCACTGTGAGAGTGCTGAAGATGAAACTTGACGACTCCATCTTGATCTCCATGATCCTGGAGAGGCGGAAGCCTGCAAGACTCTCCTTACTCTGGTTGGAGACGAAGCGCACCATGGTCCTGGTAAGGGACAGGGTGCCGTTTTCCCAGCGCTTCTCACTGTTGATGTAATAGGAGCCAGGCCAGCTGTGGATAGGAACGTCCCGGCTCATTTTGGAAGGAGATACACTGATTCACCTAGAACGATATATAAGCTTCAATGTTACATATGTACCATACAAATGCACACATTGTTGCTGTTTAAACCTACAACTACATCATAAGGGATCTCACTATCCTGATAGTGAACATACTTTCGTCAGAGTGTATTAAGGGATCCAAGCAGCAGATGAGCTCAGCTGAGGCGTTCACACTGGCAGCTTCAGCTGTGGAGGAGCGACCTTTCTAGCCAACTGACCGCGTTACGAGTGCGTCATTATAATGTTATAAAACTTCTTAGCGTGTATCACTTCCTCTTATTAAAATTATGTCAGTCCCACACCACATAAATCGTCAACATGCTGTTATTGGGCCGAGCATTACGTTGCCCGTCTGTCATGTATCTGTGATGTTTATTACGGAAATGGCGTCACACAAGAGTACGGCTGTATTTACTGTCCGGCTTCAAAATCAGAAAATGCTATCAGGACAAGGTGTTTTGAGAAATAATCATTGTTAGCTAGGATGGCGATTTCTGAAATAGCTACGATAGCGTGCAGTATTAGTATTAAATAAATGGAAACGTTAATATAGGCAGTGGTGACAGTAGATACACAGCAACGGTATGGTACGTGCGACGTGCAGGAACCATAACGTTAACCAGCAATCTTCGACATGGAGTCAAATGCAACGACCTGTTATTAAATTACAAAAAAATAGGGTTTTAGCGTTGTGCTAGTTTTCTAGTGTAATGTAGTATAAATTTGCCAGCAAAGGTGAAAAGACGTGCGCTATGTAATAGTATTAAACCAACAGTCAATCAAACGCTATCTTTTCCTTACCGTTTCTTGCTGTCCGAACGGCGACAGCCAAGTTTGCTAACTGGCTAGCCAAGGTTTTGTGTTTTATACAGTCTACGGTTTACCGTCATGGATAGGGAGGCGTACCGTAACTGCTGCAGCTTGGTGAAAATACCGAGGCAGTCGTATGAACAGTTTTGGTCCTCACATTTTGTAGATTACATCGACAAGGAGCTGAGCTATTCTAAGTTTTTCAAGAAATATTTGCTGCCCAATCACCCATGTATGTTTTCAAGAAGGTTTACAGAGGACTGGAAGTGTAGAAGACAGTGGGTGTCTGAGGACGGGAAGCCTAACTTCCAAAAACTGCTGCAAGAGTTTGGTAAATAAGCCTCTTACTAATGCGTAACTATCTACCACACATCAGTATGTTACTGCTGCAATGACTTGTGGCATGTACTGGAAGCTCATTTGTTTGTTCTTTATCACAGACGAGACTCCAGTTCCTGTTGCAAACTGCAACGCAAAGGAGTACAATGCGAACCCTAAACAAGTTATGCCTTTCAAAGAATTTATACACTACTGGAAGGAATACATCCAGAATGGTCACTCATCACCTAAAGGATGTCTCTATCTTAAAGACTGGCACATGTCAAGGTATCAATTAATACAGATTGAAGTGAACGTGTTTTCATACAGCACAATGTGCAAAATATGTAACCACCCTGTGATGAAATTTGTATTATTGTTCTACAGGGACTTTCCAGAACATAATGTTTACACCACACCAGTCTTCTTTTCTTCTGACTGGCTTAATGAATACTGGGATACACTTGAAGTGGATGACTACCGATTTGTCTACATGGGACCCAAAGGCTCATGGTGTGAAAAAAAAACAATGTTGGCAAAACCCAGTGTGTTTCTTTTCGCCATGTAAAAATGTTGTCTCTGTATTTGTATTATTATTATAGTTGTGAGTCAACACATATTTGAAATCTAGATTTGGATTTTTCATACTATCATTTGCACTTTCTCGCCACCAGGACCCCGTTCCACGCCGATGTGTTCCGCTCTTACAGTTGGTCCGCAAACATCTGTGGCAGGAAGAAGTGGCTCTTGTATCCCCCGGGTCAGGAGGAGTTTTTACGAGACACTCATGGAAACCTCTCATATGATGTAACATCAGCTGAACTTCGAGACAGAGGCCTTTTCCCAAACTCTGAAGAAGCTTGTCAGCCTCTTGAAATTATTCAAGAGGCAGGCGAAATAATTTTCGTGCCCAGTGGCTGGCACCATCAAGTTTATAATCTGGTAAGAAATGCAACGGCAACAACATCTAAGCAGCTGATCCAGAGTGCATTCATCTACCAAATTACACATTATGGTTTGTGACATAGGGATTCTCTCTCTTCAATGTTTTGTCTCACAGGAGGACACCATCTCTATTAATCATAACTGGTTGAATGGCTGCAACATAGACATCATGTGGCAGTTCCTTCAGAATGAGCTATCGTCTGTTCAAAAAGAGATAAGTGAGTGGAGAAACACGATGGACTCGTGGCATCAGCACTGCCAGGTACTTCATGGAAACGACTGTTTAGCCTGTATGCCCATGTTCACTTTGGATAACTATGACCTGGATGACAGAGTATCTTCCAACATTTAGCCAGTATACTTTCTGGAAACATGGTGCTACCGTGAATGGTTGTAATATCATAAGTAAAATCATAGTTTGTTACTTTTCAGGTCATCATGAAGGCCTGCTCTGGCATCAACTATGGGGAGTTTGCCTCATTTCTGAAAATCATTGCTGACAACCGAATGGCTTTCTTGAATGCTTGTTCCTCCGGGGATTCCTCCGATTACCCGCGCCATCTCTCAGAGACCCTCACCACACTTGGACCTTACCATGCTGCCTTTGACCTGCAAAGAGTGGCTCACGTAATTGAATGCCTTCTCTGCAATGAAGACTTTAAGCGGCTCGATCACTCAACTTTGAATTTGCAGCCAGAAACCATGTTAGAGCAAATTCGGGACACTATACAGTCCACAAGGGGGCAGCATCTCCTTTATCAGGAATGAAATGTTCAGTGGCATCCCATCAATGTAATGATCGCCTGGAAATAGCTTGAATGAAATGTGCCAATGCGTACAGCGCGGATGATAAATGTGTTCGTTTCAGATGAATTGCAATATCAAATGTTGCTTGACAATGTTTGGAATTTGTTTTTACACTAAAAGAAAAAATGGATTAATAAAGAAAATACACCAGGTGACTGAGTTTTTGTATCACAATTTCACATATTTATTCAACAACTAGTACCATATCCCGGTTGGTATATCCTGTTGTATAGGGTTGCAACAGATCTGTTACACGTAGGGCTGGGTATCGTTCAAAGATTTTCGATATCGAAACGATACTTCGACACCGGTTCCTGAACGATACTTTTTTCAATCCCAATTTTATTCTCAACAAACTGAGAACCACTGTTGTTTGTATAAAGTAACTTAATTATCACACTATTATCATTAATATTGTTTGTTATTTTAATAATTATTCCTTTGAAAAATTCAAGACATATTTGCAGTGTACCATAAGCCTACATTGTGTTTTTGTTGTCTCTTTAGTTTTTATAATGCAATTTCAGTGTTTATTAATTATATATTTTTTATTGTTTATATGTGAATTTGTGCTCTGGCAACATTGCAACCTAAACATTTATGGCAATAGGCCAGAGAGAAAGAGAGAGAGAGAGAAATCTCTCATCTCATGGAAACAAGTTTCTGCCACTACATATCAAAGTTTCCTCCTCACTAGAGGAAGAGGTGGCCAGGCAACAACTATCACAATTGAAAGTAAACTCAATCGCACAAGTCTTTATTCCACTGCAGCAAAGTCGCAGACATCAGCCCAAGGACGCTACCACCAAGCTACTCAGAAATGTAGTTAAACTAGTAACGTTACAGCACAACACTGCCCATATGGTGGGCATGCTGAAGCAAGCTCAGTGGCAGTAGAGCGCTGAGACGATGACTAAACCGGCTCTCTCTTATTGCAGTCAAAGACGGAGCAACTTTCTGTTCTTAAGTTTATTCCATGCACAGTCAAAGGATTTCACCAGGTTTGTCGTGTCGCCGTTATTGGCAGCAATTATATTATGTCGCAAATATTGCATCGCGCGCTGTTGCATCAAGCCTGGTGTAATGTAGCTACACTTTTGATTTTCTCCACGTCTTTTACATACACAAAACCACGTGTCTGTGCATAACCAGCGTGAACTAGTGTTTACGTGACCACAGCCAATTACAATCACTTTTAGATTTGGGCAAATCAAGCATACTGCATGCTTATTGGCTCATTAACGTTAACAAGAACATTTAGGTTTCGAAATTTGGTACCGAAAGACAAGACATTTTTTGATACTTGGTGGTATTGAGGCAATTCGGTCGGTGCCTAAAAAGTATTGAAGTCGATGCCCAGCCCTAGTTACACGGTATAGTTCTCTGGTAAATAACACTTTACAATTTAGGGTAAAATACTCTTAAAGTAGGTTTTATTGCAAACAAAACAAAAATACTCATAAATATGGATTAGTGCCAGACAGTTGTTAAGCAATGACAGTGTAACATTCTGTTCTCGTGGTTCTGTCTATGTGAGAGGTCTGTCAGATCTGATGTATGTCACATTTGAGGGAACTATAAAACATCCTACTCTTCAGTTGAATTATACATCTTTAGGCCACCAGTCTGGCACAGAAGCCCTAAGTGTCACTGTGGTGCCGTTAGAAGATTTGAGTGTCAACACCTCTTTGGCATGAGCCATGCGGATTAGGCTCAGACCCAGCTCTCCAACCCCGGCTCGGTGCTTCCCAGCTGGCTTTCCTGACTGCGTCTGTAGCGCAGCTCCTTCCTCGAGGTCTTGGACGGGAGCTGACAAGCGTACTGGCATCAGACGTTTCCGAACCACCCCAGTGTGATGAGTCCTGGCTGTGAGCTCCTGCCCAATGTAACAGCCCTTGCTAAAGCTGATGCCCTGCATGTAGACAAGATTTGACTCAAGTGGCAGTGCCACACCAGGGGGAAGGTCCTTCACTCCCTCAGGAAGTCCTAGACAATAATGACAGCAGAGAAAATAAACAAACCTTCTTCAACAATGTCAAGAGCATGTGTGCATACAAATCCTCACTTCTTGCCCTGTTTCTCTTTTAATACAAACTGCATGTATTTTAACATACTAACTGGTCTTACCTATTGCGTAGCGATGTCTGTAATACTCCTCTGTGTCACCTTTCTGACATGATGAAATTATGTCCAAGGGGTCAACTTGATTGTCCAACACCAATCTCCAGCCCATTTCTTGAGTTCGAGGATCAGTCTCCCATACCAGGGCTTTGTCTTGGGAGGAGAGCTCTGGTTTACTGGCCTCTTGATCTGCGTTCTTGTGCTTGGGGAGCACTGCCCATACAGACAGCTCTGGACAGGGGTTTATCTTAACCTTTCTGCGGATCTTGTACACCTTCAAATGTCTCAAGATTGAGTCCCTAATCGTGCTGTCACACTCCAGGAAAACGCAGAGTCCTGCATCAGCTTCTTT